GCCCCACTAAGTATGGGGTATTAAAGGCCCCTCTAAGTATGTGGTTAACCAGCACTGTATGCAGGATACACATTTACAAATTATCACTTAACAAATACATGTATATAATACAGAATAACAATTATGTTTATTTTAAAATATGTTATGAAAAGAACAATGCTCAGTTTGCTTTTTGATTTTGTAAATTGACCGGCCATGCAGTCAGAAGTTAACATGATTTTATCGTTGATTCTAAGGCAATGACAACAACCAACGATGTTTAATGCGTTATAAATAGAACCTCATGTTTTCACAGTACTTTAATTATGCACCCATCGATTTTGCCATCAAACTTGTTTGACATTTTCCAACATGTATTAGAAACCATTAGTTGAAATTGGACCAGATTTGGGGAGTTACTGCATGGAAAAGAAGCATTACAGATGGACATCCAAATTTATTTACTCCATTTTCTCAAAAAATCGGTCATGCATGTATTTCATAACTTTGTAAACCTTACAAACTGAATCTCTCAATTTTCTGAAATTCCTTACGAATATTTTTGTACATGTATACATTCATATTTTTGAACTTTGAATTTCATACTTGCTGGGATTAATAATATATCAGACAAATTACATTGATTTGAATTCAATTTGAATTTTGAAATAAACAATTAGCATAGTTCACCTGGATGCAATATTATAGTTATAGGAGTTACCTCCCTTCCTATAGAATCGATCTGTGTCACCCAGTTCCTGTAAGCTACTTTGTAACAGTTGTCTAAGTCACTGTATTGTATAATGTTGACCAAAATTTAGCTAAGTCTTAGTCAGATCTGATGACATCATTGTATGGAAAATATTGACCAATAAGAATGTATTATACTAATTAAGCATTCATGGTGTTGCCTTAAATTCGAATTCTACAGCCTAGGTCTCTGTTCAAGCTTACAATATTTCATCAAAACTGGACATTATATTAGAAAGTTATTAAACAGATACCAAAAGCAAATATAAGAACAGCGAGATGATTACTACTGGGCTCCACATTCTCCAAATGCAGGGCCCTTTCAAACTCATCTCCACAAGTTTGATATCCAGTTAATCACATCATTAATATATCAAGGCAAAAATAGTTTTACTCTGTACCAAATATATAAATCAACAGTCAGGTGGGTATAATGCTGATTTAAGATGTGACTTCATAACACAAATGTGTCATTGAAAATATCATGTCTATAAATTGGTATGGACTTATTCAAAAATAAAGTGATGAAACCTGTGGCAAGTATTAAGGATAAATAAGTATATCCACCCTTGATTACCTCTTCCATCTATTCCTTAGGTCAAAGGTCACCTACTGTCACTCAATGCATGCTTCAGTGCCGACTCATCTGGTACAATCACAGTTTCATCTGGCTTCAAAATCCAGAAATACAAGATATTTATGTCAACTACTGCTAATCTAAACCAAGTAATGGAATTCCTGTAGTCTCATTAACAGCCTGCAGTTTGATGACCATCTTCCAATGAAACTTAAGTATTTCTACTATTCATGTGTTGAAAAGCATTTATTTTATATTGTAAGTATGTATTGTCCTCAAACTGATGTTGGACTTAAAATATAAACAGACTAATGCAATGAAAACAGGAGATCACAGAAAGGCACCATTCTTAAAAATACTTTTTTGTAAAATGTACGTGTCCTCAATCATTTTTCAGGAAAAGCAGTGCATTCCTATGGCTTATTGAGAGCCTTTCTCACACATCCCATCTCTAACCGTTACTCAGAGTATTATAGTCTTCAGTGTAAACTTGTACTCATAAGAAGTCTTGTACTCGCACATTTCGTCGCACTGCATTTGAGAATCCTCCTTTAAAATGAAACCATACGTCCGTGTTTAAAACGTTTTTCTTCTTTTTCACTTCTTCTCCACCAGCTGAAAAACAACATTTAAAACCAAATTAAACTTTGCAATAATACTTTATTTAAAACATGGTGCAACTAGGCAGAAAACCTCTCCTGTTCTAACAGACTTGTCAATTTGGTTTGGTTTGTTTGTTTGTGTTTTACATCCTATTAATACTATAGCTATGGTCATTTAAGGATGTGCCCGGTTTTGGTGGTGGAGGAAAGCCGGAGTTCCCCGAGAAAACCACGACCTACGGCCAGTACCTGACGACTGCCCCATGTAGGCCTCGAACCTGGGACCCAGTGGTGGAGGGCTAGTGGCAGCAGAATGTCAGATGACTTTTAACCACTTGGCCACCGCAGCCCCCTACAGACTTGTCCAGGTAAGGGAATGTAATGTGCGACACTCTTCATTCCATAGAACTCTATCTATACTTTGTTCAAAACACAAAGGCAAGTCTTTCATATACTTATCCTTAGCTGTTAGACTATCTTTACATTTGGGAAAATTATTTAATCGGCAACCCCCAATAATAACTTTTCCACAAACAAGTTCAGAAGTACTTCAAACTTTGTTTCACCCAAACAAGTGGAATTAGAATTATCCATGTTCGGTAATCAATACTAAGTAGGTATGGTACGGATAATACCAAGATATGATGTACCAGGTGAAACCGTTTACATATACCAGAGAGTACAGTTAACATCTATCACATGGTACGGAGGTAATCTGATTCTGAAAGCTCAGTACAATTATTAAACATACCAGTTTGTTTTGGTTTGGCTTCCGGAGTTTTCCTCTTTATAATCCGCCCGAAAAAGTCTCTTACAATCTGGAAACAATAAAGAAATAGTTTAATAAACATATATACAAACAAATGTACCAAACTGATAGAACAATATATATACCAGTCACATGTCATGCAGCACTCATTCAAACTTACTGAAAGCAATTCAAACAGCAATGAAGTTTTGCTTCAGACAAACGAGGGTATCAAAAATGAACAAGGGGCTATAACCCTGCTAATAATGAGACTATAAATAAAAGCAATAGAACAATGATAATGGAATGTCAATGGATGCACAGTGCAGGGTATACAATATTATAGAGTGATCTGTCATCAAGGAGCATATTAAAAAGAAACAATGTATATCTGACCATATGAATCATTGAAGAGCATCTCATTTTTTGACAGGTAATAAATACTGACAATTCTAAGTGCAGCTGTAGCTATTTGGTTGCATGACATTGTCTAAATGTGTTTTGGCTGCAGAATACAATGTGAAAGTCATGTGATCTGTGCAGTACAAGTCAATGAGATGTTTCAAATCAATGTGAATATAACAAATATGAAATTGGGTATTCCGAAAATAATGTATTACAAGCATGGACAATGAGCCTATAACGTTGGTTTATAAAATAATAATTTATAGCCTTGGGGTCCAGTGTATGTTTGTGAAATACTAACCATTGCATTAGTGCCACATACACAACCTTGGGGTCCAGTCTACATGTGTGAAGTACTAAATGACATGTTCTGGTGCCACAGACACAGCCTTCGGATCTGGTGTAGGTGTATGAAATACTTACCACTAATTCTTGTGCCAGAGACACGCCTTCAGATTCGGTCTACGTGCATGTATTACTTACCACTTCTTCTGGTGCCACAGACACAGCTTTAGGGTCCAGTCTACGTTTATGATTAGGTATGAACGCCTCGTCTGTCTTGGATTGATTTGATGATGACAGTGATGTTGATCCTCCCCTGTTGCGACTGAAAAGAACAAAGATATTCTTTCCAAAATGCTTCCCTTGAAATTTCCTACAGAATTAAAACATAACTACAAATGTGTCTGTACGACAGCGATGCCCAGTCCTACACTTAAATACCAAACTATAACTGACCTTAACCCAAAAACGTAACAAAGATCACTTAGGTCAAGGTTAAAGGTCAAGCTTACAGAAAGGTCATGCAACATGCTGTACTCTTAGAGATGCATAAGCATGTGAAGTGGAGTGGACGTCGATACAGTACTCAGTCGATTACTGACCTTAATGCCTAACTTAACCAACACATTTTCATTGTCTATATGTATAAGAATCACCTTCTTTTACCAATTTTCTAGTTCATTTCAAACAATGAAAACAATGGAAATTCTTTGTGCTAATTGGTTACAGGCAGAATTGGCTCTAATTCAAATTTAGCCTTTGTATAGTATTTAGATTATCATAATCTGGTCATAAGGATAGTAAAGAAACTGTCAACCAATCAGATTGTTATTAATAAAGCACAGCGTTTCTATGCTGTAAATGTTCCTTTAATGTGGTAATACATCAAACATTATTAGTCTGACTTAAAATCAACATAAAATTAACACCTCCTATATGTCAAAAGTATTGCATCCTACTGAACCAGAGGCTGTACTTCCATACATAGTGCATGTTGAGGAAGGTGCATCATTTCACCTATAGAGCCAGAATAGTTTGTTGTATTTCATGTGTGCTCAGTTTAATTTTGAAAAGGTCAAGTACTGGGTGTGCAAGTTATGGGTATCTAGTGTTAGATAGGCTTAGGGTACCCAGTGTTGGGAATGTTATGGGTATCTAGTGTTAGATAGACTTAGGGTACCCAGTGTTGGGTATGTTGTGGGTATCTAGTGTTATATAGGCTTAGGGTACCCAGTGTTGGGTATGTTATGGGTATCTAGTGTTAGATAGGCTTAGGGTACCCAGTGTTGGGTATGACGTGGGTATCTAGTGTTAGATAGGCTTAGGGTACCCAGTGTTGGGTATGTT